ACACCCATATAATCCCTGATTACTGATTACCCGCCCCCACGGAAACAGCCCCCACAGTCAACCCATAAGAGATTCAGAGGAAAGGTTTGTCGCTTTGGCGTTTATTGTTACATTGTTGTTCCGAGAATGTTAGGTCATAAAAATGGAAAAACACTATTAGTTATATCTGAAGTTTGTTGCCCGGCTTTTCTGTAGTTATGGCGTATTTCAGATTCGGTATTTCACGTAAACATTTAGAATATGTCATGTGCACAAACTGCGTTAATTAGTCTGAATATGTAAATGTCTTCCACTACTTCATACGTATTCCATTCATGTATCAGAATTATAAAATGCCATCTCGATAAATAACCAGATACCTGATATTAATGCCGGTAATATAATTATTTCCTTCTGTGTGTAGCCCGAGAAGCTTTAAAAAGTTAAGGAATTATATATTTCAAAATCCAGACTGTGTTCTACTCTTATTATCTTTTATATTATAGTAAAAATAGCGATGTTTTGAAACTTAGAACACGTCAACGGAATATAAGATGTTTTAACTGCGAGATGGAGGGGTTAAATTAACATTTTAAGTATTTTTCGATGTTAATATCTTCACTTAAATATCATCTAGACCAAGAATTCTTAAACTTTTCAAATTTTGTACCACATAAATAAAAGTAAAAAATATATATGAAGTATCGTGTACCAATATATGGATCAGAAGGGGTGCCATTTTACATTAATTTTAAATATTTATCTGAAAATTATAGCATTAAAAATAATGCAATGTACCACTAATGGTACATTGCATTATTTTTAAAAATGCATCTCCACAACACAAAACCATACAAACCAGGTGCATCCTGTTAGAACGTGCATATCTATAAATTTAAAACTATGCATATAAAAAATGTAGTCCGAATAAACAATTAAACACAACTTCAATCTTTTAGAACAATCATTTTTCTATTTATTTTTAACAATAACAACGGTAAAGAAAAAACTGGTAACCATGGTAACATTTTGCGACTGCGCAGATAGTCTCGCAGATGATTTTCACAGACGATATGTTAGCGTCATAGAACAAATACAAAAATATTAAACACTGTGAAAAAAGAATCATTATTAATTTAGTTTTATATTAAAATTTATAGTAATTACTTCAAATATAAACTTTGCATTGTGTCATTGATTTTAATCAAAACCAAAAATATATGTATTAAAAAAAAGAAAAAAAGAAACGAGCGGTCCGCTATGATGTCCTATCTCGTTCTGTCCCTAAAGGAGTTATCTAATGACAAGTGACCTTAGAAAGAAGCATTTCCGAGAAATGAGTTTCTCCTTCTCCTACCACTGGAGGATTTCCTTTCACTGGAAACAACATTCCAGCTATATATCCTCTACATTTTCAAACTGGGACGAAAATGTTTCGCTTAAACTGTGTCTCGCGTAGGTTTCCCCCAAAGAGCTGGTTTTCGCGTAAGTTAATCAATGAGGTATCCCGAAAGCTAACATTCCCAGAAATGTTTCTTTCCGAGCGCAGCCACGAATAGCTTTCAAATTTGATAACGGTTTCAGATATGATTGTGTATGCTGTCCTTAATACTGCATCAACTGACAAAATGCTTTACACAGGCAAAAGAAGCTTCTTCCTTTCATCCTATAATGCACAAGAATGGACAAATTCCGCATGCGGTCGAGTTACAGCATGCAGCTGGAAAAGAGTGCTCGTTGTTTACCATTGAGTTTATTATTTTTTAAATTAAAACAAAGGCTCTTTTGGGGGGGGCTTTCGAAGTTTAGATTATACTGTAAGTTTACTTTAAAGTTGTTTTATTCTTATTTCTTGTTTTTTCAAAGTTTCAAATGACAACGTATTAAAGCTGTAAGATTAAGAAGAGCACCTTTTCTAAATACTAAGCATCCATGAAAATGAAACAGAGGTGCTTTTAAAGTATCTAATTCAATAAATATTTATCTTTTATTTATTTATTTATTTTAAAAATTACTCTAAAATGATAGACCTTAAAGATGTGGGTAATCAGTATAAAGATAAAAGCACTAGGCATTTTCCATCAACACAATACAAGTAGACCTAGTTAGCAGTTTATGACGTTAAGGAAATATTTTTTTGGCCTGGCTAACTATTTGGTATTGAAATACTAAATATGTGGACTAAGGATGGATTCAGCAATTTCATTATGTTACTGGCACCTATTTTAAGATATCAATTTAGCCAGATTCGAGTGCTTTTAAATTTTGAGTGAAATCGTAATTCCAGGCAAAATGCAGAGTTCCAAATCAGATAAGCATTTAGGTACATTGTTGTGCAAATGACTCGCAATATTGACACAAACTTATATTATTATTAATCAAACAACGGAATACGTACATCACAACACGTGGAAAAACTTGAGCAGCTGGGGAAGAAAATTTGCTACATCAAAAAGTGATAATATCAGGAGCAGGAATTGTTATGAGCTGTAGTTGTTTGATCAAAATAGCTTTAAACGAATTAGAAGTTCAAAATAAAGATGTAATGTTACCTGTGTGGAAAGAATATTAAAAAATACTATTCTGTTATCCTTGATATCATGTCTTCTTATGCAAATTTATTGATTATATAAGGTATTTATCCTGCCTTCTTAGCATGTCTTTGTGGTGTAGTGTGCAGTACGCTCGGCGCGAATTCGATAGGTCCGTAGTTCGAGTCCCGGCGAGGGCGTTGCTCATTTTTCACATCTCCTGCTTCGAATTAACCTATGTCTCTACAGTGGCGCCCGAACTAAAAAAGTGGTAGATGACGTTTCTCCACCACCAAGATTTGGCAGTTGGGTCCGCTAATCCCCAGTGGCCCTTTAAAAGGGGTAGTATATAAGGTATTCCTCCGGCTTTCTTAGCATGCCTTCGTAGTGTAGTGGTCAGCACGCTCCGCGAGTATTCGATAGACTCGCGATTCGAGTCCCGGCGAAGGTGTTGCTCATATTTCATCTCTCCTGCTTCGAAATAACCTAAAGTCTCTACAAGTTTATATCAAATATCTTCAAGCGTCATGTTCAGAAACTACTTTTCAGGAAAAATGTATTTTCAGAAAGACAGTAATACACATTTTTAGAAGACAACAAACTCTTTTGTTCCTGAATCGATTATTAATCTCTTTGCTTCTCGCTGAACCTCTGGTAAAACAAATGTCCGTTAGAATCTGGATATGTAAAGCTAACTTCTAATCATTAATGTGTTCACATATATTATTTTTCCTGTGGATAACTTTTCATTACATTATAGCAATCTTGCATTTTTATAGATGTTATATACCACATTCATTTTATTGATTTTTTAGTATCATTTATTTTTTTTATATCGCTGAAGGAACTGTTTATGATTTGTTTTGGACTGGCTTGAGAATTTTGTTTTTAATCAATTGAAGAGGATCATTTGCCCTTTAAAGGCTTTTGCGACATACAATTCAAGATTAGAAGTAGCTGCGAATCGACGAGGCCTAATGATCTTCCATTCATTTTCCACGCTGCAAGCAATACTCGTGAATTATCCGAAATCACAAACGACGTTATGACTAAGAGCTTCTAAATTTTTTCAGTACTGTATTTTAAGATTTTGCCTCTAAACATTTAAAAACAAGCTTATTGATTCAAAGGCGGGCGACATATAGCCAAAAGTAGATGTTCAATAACGCTGTTCCGGGATTCTAAATTACAACCCTATGTGGGCGTTCGGGTCACAAACCAAGCGATTGAAGGAGCAACAGAAAAGAATATAATTCCTCCGAAAAATATAAACAACACAAAATAAAACGTAGGAAAAAGGAAGGAAAAAAAAATCTTCCCACCCTGTGCGGGGCAAAATCGTGTGGCAGATTTCTCATCTAGATTACCTCATTTCCCTTCGAAGGGAGACAGGCGCAATTTCCTGTGTTTTGAGAAGTTTGCGCTTTCTTCCTCTCTCGCTCAACCATCCGACCAGCATTTCCAGTAACAAAATTCTCCCACATAATTTAGCAATATGATTAAAATTATTTCGACAGAGCACTGAAGTGTAAAAAAAATATTAAGGTACACTAATCTGCATCTCCGAAAAATTATTTATTTCGAATACATAAAAGTCCCTTATAATAATGCTGCACCCAGTTATTAAATGATTATAGCTTGAAACCACACAGCATTCTCAGAATAACGCGCCTAGCAACAATACTGTTTCTTGAAGCTATGAAATCTTTCTTTAAGAGGAAGTCTCGAAATGAGGCGAATATCCGCCAGTGAATCTCATGCCTTTAAGGGGAATCTCAATTTGAAAAAATTTTAAAATTAACTGCGATTACAAAAATATACAAAACGTATTGGTATATTACATACTCATGAGTAGTAAAAAATAAGTTGTCACAATATTTTAAACTAAATACAATAAAACCTCTGCTCACGAATTAAATTCGTTCCTGGAGGTGTTGTAGGAATTAATATAAAATGGATAAATCCATTTCTGGACGAAAGTTTATTACAGCTTGAAAGAAATATTTTGTGTTGAACTTAAAAACAATATTTTGTATGCATATTCCTAATACAAAACAAACGAAAATCATTAAATCCAAAAAACTCCGTAAAGAGGCTGAGGCAAATTTCAGACTGCAAACAGGCCACGATTGCATGGCACATCATGTTAATAAAATTGGCATCCTTCCATCTAGTATATGCTAAATTTGTAATTTAGTATTATGAATGCAGAGTATCTTCTTATATGCCCGGACCTAGATAAAGAGTCTCAGAAACGTGGTGAGATAAGCAAACTATACTGGAATGCCAGAACGTTAATGAACTCCTTATTAAGACTACGATCTCTTATGTTCTTTTCCGTGTTGTTTAAATTTTTAACTCTTTACTTTTGTTCCCATGTCCTTTTGTTTTGGTTCTTACTTTAAATGTTTGTTCTTTTTTATTTTTTATCATTGTTCTTGTGTGATACTTGAGCTGTTTTATATGTTTGGTTTGATCCTTGCAATATAGCCATATGTAACAAGAACAACAACATTAAATCCAAGATCCAAGTCGTAATATTAAACAGATAAACTAGACGACACTTAATTTAATTTTGCCATTCATGTACGAAGGGAGATGGCCAGACGGACAATATCAGTGGAAAGTGATAAGGAGAAAAAGAGAAGTGATGCTACTGTTTGGATAAGGAATCCTTTTCCGTAAAAACATCAGGTAAAAATTCCGTAAAACTCTTCTTATGGCCTTTCTTTCATCTTTTCTTTGTCTCTCACATTCAACATTCGACTCGCTGGGTCTATGCTCCATTAAAAATTTCTCCCGTGATCTGCTGTGTATGTTTTAAAATGTTTCTAAAGTGAGAGACTGGAGACCACTGAAAACTTTACTGCAATTTGCTATTATTTTATCAGGCTGATAGCCTTACGTAATAACTTTGCAAATAATACTAACTTCTAGAAATTTGTGATATAAAAAGATACATTCTCCTCGGAATCGGCATATTTTAACCATTCTGCTTTCATCTTTTTCTATGATACTTGTATTTCAGTGTATGACTATATGTGTATGTATATTACTATTATTTATTAATTCATTACTATCAATTTATTTATTACTATTATTCATTCATTATTTTTCAGTGTATGTATATTACTATTATTTATTAATTTTTGCCTAAAGATGAATTAATCTAAATTCCATTGTTTCATAATAGTTTTAATCGCTATCAAAATATATGTTTAAATAAAGAAGGATTATTTTTGGGTACTTTAGAAGTTCATAAGAAATAACTCTTTTTGGTCAAGGTGTCAAATTTATAAGACATTTAAACACTATCATTATTCGACTACGTTGCACAGCTTCTAGAAATCATTATTTGTAGAAGAAAGGCTAAATTAATGCCAACCATGTTTGTGGTCATTTATTTCAGCCCACTTGCCAGTTAATTATATATTCAATAATTTAACAAGTTTCTCACTTGTATATCTATGGAGCGCAAGAGGCCAAGGAGACCGTTGGCCCACATTTTAGCTAACATGTGACTCGTTTTACGACTGTAATGAATCTCGAGTAATTGGCGCCCTGAAGTCACTTTATTTGAATTCTACCAATCGTCGGTGAGAGTCACATACAGAATGAATGGCAATGTATACGCAAATTGATAGTAAGATGGCACAAGAAAATTACAACTTTGCCCTGCTGATGTTTGTGTGTATTTGCAACTCCGCGTGCGGTGATTTTTATGTTGGTTTATTTCTTTTCAGTATAATAGTACTTGTGTAATCAATACAAGTTCTCCCTCTGTTAATGGCTCAAGGAGACTTAAAAGGACTGCATATTTTAGTATAAGTACCTGTTTCTGTATGCTTATTGTGAGATTATACGACATAAATATTGGCTACGTTTCTTTTCTTTTTAAACCATTTTTCTTGCATTCAATCGTCTTCATTATGGCGAAGTTACAGTAGCATTTCAAATTAATAGATTTTGTGAAAAGCTATACGTAGTTTCTTCATGTTGATGAATGAATCCGACGCAACAAAGAAAACACACATGAGTGATGAAGAAATAGAAGAAATTATGCCTGTGCCTCTTTGAACTCGCTATTCTAAAACTTTTAGCTGCAGAGAAACCCTTAAAATGATTTAACAGCACTTAGTAGAACTCTCATATCACAGTTACTACAATTATTTTATTTTTATTATTAGTCCAAAGAGGCTTTGTCCCTGAAGGACTATTGTTTTCGTTTTGCGATTTTGCATTGGTTCACTATAAATGTCCATTTCACTTTTCAAACCGTTGCCACAAAATGTTACAGTCCTGCATTATATTTGAAGAAATTAAATAATGAAAAATCTGCATAAATGTATGCATGTTTCTCGCATTGTGATAAAACAACGGTACGTAGAACCATCGAATTTTGAATAACGTAATCCTACTGCGAATATGGGCATGTGGAAGATCAAATTTGAAATTTGGAATTTGTTTTATTATCGATTTCATATTTTGTAAAACTTTAACGAATTTTTGAGTAACAAACTCAACGATTTGAAAGCCGGTAATGGCAACAATCCACGGAAAAAAAAAAAAAAAAAAAAACTCTTTCATCTCCAGCGTGCGGCTCATTTTAAAATTATTTTGCGACATTGCTATTGAACTGAAATTTATGGTTTAAGTGCGAAGTGCGAAGATGGTTTGGTTTGGTTTATTAGATTACGGCAAAGCACTCGAGAGCTATCTGCCTTAAGGAAGGGATGCCTTCGTGGAGGACTTTTAAGGGAAACTGGCTTGTATACACATTACACATGGGGAAAACCACGAAAACACCCATGCAGCCAGCCCGTTCGCGGGATTCGAACCTCGGACCGAATTACCAATGTTCAGCGACGTTACCGCTCAGCCGCTAGTGGGTTTAAGTGCGAAGAACATGATATTTAATAAATAAAGGTAACACATAAAATGTTAAAAAAACGCCCCTTTGAACGTAATTTAAAACCCGTAACTGTTCAGATTTTTTTTATGTACTATGACTACTTTTGTTTAAAGAAAAAAATTTTAATTTATTTATTTTGTCCAAATTAAATAGCAGCATAAAAAGGAAATTGGTCTTCGCAATTGTGCGGCCGCTAAAAGAAAGAAAGCTTAAACTTTATTTTTTAAGTTATTTATATAATTTATTGTTCCAGAGCTTTTAAAAACAAGTTTACGAAAGAGCTATATTCAGCCTCACTAGTAAATATGTATTTCGATATGTTACTTATTTCCATGGTTATTATTTATTAATTAATCAGAATGAATTTCTATGGCACAGATTCAAATCTTACAACCAAGTTAAAGTCGAATTTAGCCATATTTGAAAACTTATTAATCCGAATCCAGAATTAAGTTTCTAACTAATAAATTTTATATGAGCATTATTTTAATGTCTAACTATAAAAGATTGATTTAAATTTAACTGTTTATTTACAAAGTTGCCTACATTTTCATGGACCTATAAAATATACCGTTTTATAAGTAGAAGGACATCACTATTTTTATAGAGTAAGCCATTCACATGCAGTATAGATATTATGTTTATCCAGATTTAATGTAAAAGATAATAAATCCTAGTTGTCTGCTGCAATGAAAGTTTCAACGCATAACCATTCGTGGCGAAGAAATGAATGTGTTTGATCAGTTGCTGTCGTAAAGACTTTTAACAAATGTTGTTAAATATTTTATGTATTTAAACAGATTCCTCCGAACTAATTGCTTTTTGAAGTCATAAAAACAACAGCAAGAAGTAATAAAATGTTTATATTACCTTGTAGGAACATTAGGTGATTTCGGAAGCAGGAGAGATGAAAAATGAGCTACGTCTTCGTCAGGACTCGAACCACGGGCCTCTCGAATACGCGCCGGGCGTGCTGACTGCTACACTACGAAGGCATGCTAAGAAAGCGGAAGAAATACTACCTTATAACCTCTTAAAAGGAAATGTGAAAGATACTGATTTATTTCATACATCCATCAAATCTGTCATGTTTAACAGCCATCCCCAAACACATTTTCATGAATTTAATTCTTTTTTAAAACAATTATTAAGAAATGTATATTAAAATTATTAAATAACTACTAATAATATACATGAGATATATTATTATACACCAGAGAACAGGGGCTCCGTTGCCTAGCAGACTGCCTTACACGGATTAAAGCGTCTGCCTCCGGAAGCTATCTACCACCCGCTCCACCACAACCGGGGTGGGTGCCAGGTCAGACGGCAATACCTGAGTCTTAAAACAAAGAGATACATGGGCAAACAAGGCCAGTGTGCAACAGAGGTTTCAATACATAGTCTGGATTTACAATTTTTTCCTCTAATACATACGTCATACATTTATCACAGCTTATTTACATTCAGTCCTTTGTGAAATACTTCAGCCATTAATATTGATTTCAAACATGCAATTTTGCACAGTTCTATAAAAATTCCTGTGACCAGGGTTACAATTACTGTTTTCAGAAAATAAATAGTCTACATAAACATACATATTAGATATACAATTATAAGACATTTCTCATTCAGACAATTAAATACAATTTAACATTAGAATCTTAGGGATACAAGGAAAACATTGGTACACCAGTCAATTTTAAGCCAAATCTTTCTTTTTTCAAAAAGAACTTATATAGCTACATATATAAGACGTAGAGTTTTAATTCTAAAAACCTCTAAATGCATCTTACCGTAAGATAGCAGAATTATGTTAGATTTACAACATACCATAAGCAAAGTTCCTATTATCCATTACTATTAACTTGTTTAACATATCAATACTTGAATACTGTTGTTGCAATTTAAACCAAGAGTACCAATTAGTTACATGAGAACAATACACCACAGTATTTGTGATATTTTAGTACATACTTTTACCATTCTATTAAACTTATATTCAACTCAGATACTTCAAATACAAAACAAAACAAAAGAAAAAAATTTTTTAATATATATATATATAGTATATATACATGCACATGCAAGTGAGTTCAAGAGACAGTTAATAATGGAATATACAATGAATATAATACAAAAATCAACCTGCAAATACTTAGATGCAGTTATTACTATTATACAATTGTTGTACATAGCAATAATACTACCTTTTCTTTTAAATCAGTAATATATACAGGACTAAACAACACAGTATTTTATGATGCTATATTACATACAGTTACCATTCTATTAAATATATATTCAACACAGCTTATTCATTTACAAACAAGATGCATGCAATAGACTTCAAGATACAGTGAATACTGGAATCAATAGTAATTTCAATACCAAAACCTAACTAGATTGTAATATTAACTTCATTACCTGCAAATACTTAGTTACAATTATTACAATTTTTACAAATACTGTACGTAGCAGTGATATTACTTCCTCTTTTACAACACTGATACATTAGACTATATTATACAGTATTTATGATGCTATAGTACAAACAATTACTATTCTACTAAATTTATATTTAGCACAGATAAATATAATAATAATAAAAACCCTAACTTAGTAGTAACATCAACTTCATTAACCTACAAATACTTAGATACAGTAATTGCAACTTATTCAAATGCTATACAGATCAGTAATACCACCTTCTCTATTTCAGTACAGATATATACAAGACTATACAACTTTGCATTTATAATTCTGGTAGTGCATACAGTTACTTTACAATTATGTTCGGCACAAACTCTTCAGGTGCCAAAAAGATGCATACACGAGAATTCAATGAACATTTATTAAGGGACTGAACAGTAAATATAATACTAAAACTCGATCTAGTGAGTATCATAAGCCTCATTTAACTACAAATGCTTATATTCAAGTTATTGCAAGTATTCAGATGTTGTACATAGTAGTGGTACTGCCTACATTTTGAAATACAGATACATACGAGATGATACAGCACAATATAAGTGATACCATAGTTGTTGAAACTACAATTATATTAAATTTAATTCAATATAGTTGTTTGGTACCCACTTGCATTCAAGATTATCATTGAATACGACACTTATTTTATTCTATGAGAGTATGAGCTTGTGTAAGTTAGAAAAATACTAACTCTACTCAATCACTGATTTCCCCTTGAAGTTCTACTTTCACTCATGGAAGAGGTATGTTCTTGACAGAATTTTATTATGTCCTTGATTTTTTTAAGATCAGAGAATTTCTTGGGGAGGAGCTCCGCCCATTTCGAACGAAATTGTTCCTGTGGTTTCTATAGATGTAAACTGCTTGTCATTGTGCAGCTAAAGAGGTAGTGATCAGCATCGCCAATCTCTCCACATAAGCAAATGTCCGTGTCCGTAAGATTGAATCTTTTAAGATAGGACGGAAAAGGGCCGTGTCCTGAGTAGAATTGCGTTAAGTAATTTGCTAGGCCTCGCTGAAGCAATGAAACCTTTGGGAAGAAAGTATGGACCCTTCGTCCTGTGGTTTCTGAAGTCCAACGTTGCTGCCATACCTCCATAAGTTCCTTTAGCGTCATCTTTTTAAGGTAAGAGTACGGTAATTTTTCCGGCCGCTCCTCTCTGTAGACGTTATTTGCTGCTTGTTTTGCGCCTTTGTCTGCCTCTTCGTTGCCGAAAATTCCGACGTGAGCCGGAACCCATGACAAAGCCGGCCTATTCTCTTCCGGGAGTGCCAGGAGCTCTGATTGGATTGCTTGTACGATGCGATTTCTGTTCAGATAATTCTGAATGGCATGTAGACTAGAAGTTGAGTCACTGAGAATTTGAGCTTTCCAAGGTTGTTCTGTTTTGAGTAAGCGACTGCGAGCCCTTAGAGCTACAAGCTCAGCCTGGAAAACAGTGTTATTGCTGTCAAGCCTTCTATTCCATAGGAACAGTACATTGCCTCCCTGCACTAAGCAAAAAGCGCTGCCAGTACCATTAGGTGTTTTGGAACCGTCAGTGTAGATCGCTTTTTCATTATGGAGAGGGGGGATATGTGTTAAGCTGATCGATTTGGAGATATTGAGGCTGGCAGGGTGACCAATTGTATGATATATTCTATTTTCAAAGTCAGTGGCTATATATGTTTTTGCCCATAACGTGCAGTTTTGGCGTAATCTTAAGACTCTGGAAATCGCAGCTTCTCTTTGTACCATGAGGTCTAGGGGAAGGAGTCCCCGCTAGTACTTGGAGGGCAGCGGTTGATGTGGTTTTGTAGCCTCTGCAGATTAGTAGTAGGTGTTGTCGTTGGATTGTATTCAGGAGGCCTCTCATGTTTTGATTTAGTTGCTTTCCCCAAATTGCCACTCCGTATAGTAGGATTCTTTCGAGAATCGTCTTGTACCAAATTTTTACTATTGACGAGGGAGTTCCCCAGTTAAGCCCCATCGTCTTTAGCATGTGATTTGTGAGGTAACTGCTACGGAATTTCAGTTCTTTCAGATGCGGCATCCAGGAGAGGGTGTTGTCTATAACAAAGCCTAAATATTTTATTGACCTTTCGCACTTAATTGGATGACCATTGATTTTAACCGAAGGATTACGTTTCATCTTTCTCTTTCGTCCAATGAAGAGTAGCTTGGTCTTGTCCGCTGAGAGGTGTAGTTTGTGATTGCTTGCCCATTTAACGAATTTATTGACTGCCTGTTGCGCTCTTTGTTCTATGTCTTTTACTCCAGAGACTATTATTAGGAAATCATCCGCGAAGGCTTGCAGTTTAATTTTGTCTATTGGATCGAATAGGGAAAAGGCCGTATTTGCGACAATGTTCCATAAATGTGGGGCCCAAACAGGATCCTTGTGGGCAGCCTCTCTGTAGGTCTTGTGTAACTGTTGCATTGTCCAGGGTGATTTGGACTTTCCTTTCCTCCAAGTAGCTTCTAAGTATTTTTAAAAGTTCTTGTGGGCAGTTGGCTTTGTCTAATTCTTGCATAATATCCGGCCACCAGACCGTGTCAAATGCTCCTTTAATGTCGAGGGAGATGACTATTGTGTGTTGATTCTCGTCTCTGTTACATTGTATTAGGTCTATGAGGTTGTTGACAGCCATGTCTGTAGATACTCCTTTCCTAAACCCATATTGATTGTTACTTAAAATTTTTCCTTTCTCTAAGTAAAAATTTAGTCTCTTTAGTAGCAGTTTCTCTAGGAGTTTGCTGATGGAGGGCAGGAGGCTTACTGGGCGATAGGATGATAGATTGCCTGGATCTTTCCCTTTTTGTTAAAAAGTGCGATCTCTGCTATTTTCATCTGTCCTGGGGAAATGCATTCAGTCTCCAGCAAGCATTACAGAGTGCCAAGTAGGAGCCTTGGGTGTTTCTTGTGGATGGCACTTTAGAATCGCATTATCTAGTCCATCTGGCCCCGGAGCTTTCTTCACTGGTAGGCTTCTTATTACTGGGTCCATTTTTTTCAGGGTAAACATTGCATTGTCTCGTGTCTTTGTGTTCCAATTTTCGTTGTTGAACTTTTCCCTTATTTCTTGTTGCTGCAACGAGTCATCATCTGCTGAGTCTGGGGAAAACACCGCTTTTAGTATCTCTTTGACTTTATCGGCTAGAGTTGGACAGTCAGTAGCCACTTCGGCAGGTATTTGAAGAGGTCGGTAAACCTTATCAGTGGCGACCTTTTGAGTTATGCCATAAACATTCTTAATATTAACACAGAAAGTTTTCCAAGATGCTGCTTTAGCTTTTAAAATATTCTTTTTGAATTTCGCTAGTTCTTTCCTAAAACTTATCTTCTGGGAGAGTTTACGAGTGGGATCCTTTTCCCTTTGCGACCTTCTTCTCAGAGCTCGGACTTTGTTCCTTTGCGCCTTCAAAGAAGGAGTCCACCGGTTAATTGAGGATGGAGGTTTTGGGGATTTGATCCTGTATGAAAGTTTAGCCGCCTTGGTTAAAGTATGAATGAGGTGCTGATAAATC